CCCCAAAACCCCCAAAACCCCAAAACCCCTTAATGAAGAATATATGGCTTAATTTGTATACTTTAAATTATTGTTCACATTTAAATTAGAATATAAAGCTTAATTTTGGGGGGGGAGTATCACTTTTAATTATATTACAAATCATTAAATTTCCTAGTCTATTAGAAACTTAAATTAAATTATGTTTGAGCCAGTGTAGTTGAGTAAGAACATTATTATCTAGAATCTTGACTCTGAAAATTACTAAGAGTTTGCTGATCTTGTAGCTGAAGAATACCATTTAAATGAGCCACTTTCACTTATTCTTGGGACAAGTTCAAAAGGTTATAGAGAGTGCATTGAATCTTTAAAAGAATTCATATTGTCTTAGAACTGTTCTTTTATAGCAAGATGCAGAATTACTGGAATACTAATTGGAGGTTTAGTTGGCGAAGATTACCAAGCTGAATATGAATTAAAGAAAGATAAGGCTTTGGAAATTTATTTTTGAAGATTAGATGAAGCCAAATAATCACTATTTGATAGAGGTATTTTGAGAAAAGAATGGAAAATTAATTTAACCACTTGGGGAATCACGCGAAGCTCACACCAAAAATAAAATATAATCACAGTACTAGCCTATAATGTAATGCTAAAAGCGAAATTTCTCGGATTTGACTATGGAGTCGGGGAAGTTAATCATATGGCTACCTTTAAATTATTGATGAATGAAAATATGTCAATAATACATAGAATAGATTTCCATGATATTTATGAAGAAGTAAAGGACAGCCTCACATAAGAATAGAGAAATTTTATAAAGAAATCAGGTACTTCAGATTATATTTTCTTTAGTAAATTGGAACCAGCAATCTTGAAGAGAGGGGAAGCATTAAATGCAAAACTTTGATAATATTTTTAAACTAACAAGATAAAACTTTGTTTGAACACAAACTAATTTCAAGCACGATAAAACATTGTTTAAAAACTATTAATATATCTTTTTACTTCATTTTTCTCAACCTTTATAATTTGAATATTCAATATGCCGGGGTTTTGGGGTTTTGGGGAGA